GTGTGTACGCGGAGGTGCGTGTGTAGTGTGTGTTTTTTGAGTGTAAATGTGAGAGAGAGAGAGAGAGAGAGAGAAAGAGTGTAGTTATTAGGTGAAATTATGAGAGAGCACGTGGTGGTTAGTTGTTGAATTGATGGTGGGCCCAGTCTGATTAATTGTGTATAGATATGTAATGACTAATTTGTCCTTACTGAGTAGCCAACTATGAGCACGTTTGTTATGGTAGATTAGATAAGATAGGGCCTCTAATCTACCCAAAATCCTGTGTTTGTTAGCAAAGACTACGGCCCGACGGATTGGACACGGCCCGAGATAAAAATGGTGTTGTCTTGGGAATGCAAGACTAAAAAGTCTCGAGGAAGGGGCCAAGATAAAATTGGTCTGCACAGGAAATTTGCTCATCAATGTCCATTCTGCCCCTAAAATTTATATTTTATCCCCAAAACAACCTTCATTTGTAATTAAATTACAAAATGACCATTATAAAAGAGAAAACTATCGGTTCTAAAAAAAATGAGGAACTTCGATTGTTTCTTCTTGCACCGTCATCGCCAAATCTGTTCCACTGCTCGTTCCCCCTACATCCGCTAGCAATTTAATTGAGCCAGCGGCCGCCGCTATCTCACGATTCCCTCATCGTGCTTTTTATGCCTGATGGAATTGGCACCGCGACTTCTTGTACGACATCGTTACAGTTCTAGGGTTTGGGGGTTTCAATTGGGGCTGCTCAGAGACAGGAGGCTCGGCAGCTGGATAAGGAATGGGGGCGGTGTCGTATCGGAGAAGAGATTTGTTGACGGACGTTTTCGGTCAACGGTTAAAAAGTTGAGTAATGGAAAGGTAATGTGGAAAAGACAAAGAAAATACGGTTCAATTACGATTCTATTAAAGATCACGAGGTCGGCCTCTCGTACGAGGTCGGCACTTGCGGTATCCTTAACAATTCTTACACAAATTCCTTACAAGTCTAGAGAGAGAAAGTACAGAGAGAGAATTCAGACATTTGGGATTCAACAACCCAAAAATAAATGAAGGGGTTGCATTTATAGCGCTCTTTAATGCGGCACTGTTCAGGTACTGTTCACCGGTCTTGTCGTACAGTAGTTCGGCGGGACAGACCGGCATTTCTCGGACTGTGTGAGTGATTTCAGGGTCTTCCAATCATCGCCTGCAACGCATTTAATGCTGGGTGTGGGCTGCATTTAACGTGGACATACTCTTGAGTCGGGCTAGACGTTCTAGACCTGCTGGCTAGCCTGGGATGTCCCATCAGCAATCATTAGTTCGACAAGTGGCCTTATTTTATGTTTTCTGGGTCCCTAATATCTACAAGGGCCAGACTGGCAGGGTGTCGAGCTGGGCTATATCAGTCCCTGACCGTCCTCCGGCGTCCGGGATCCTTTATAGATCTCGGCACTGAGTCAGGTCGAGCTCGAGGCTGGAAAGTCACGGTGCCGACCTCGCGAATCGACACCTTGTTGAGGCTTAGCCCGGAGAGGCGGCATTACTCTGCACTTACCAAGGAAGAGAACCTACTCGACCACAACCTGAGCCCGGAGATCATCGACACATCTTTTAAGCCAGGTACTGCTCGAACTGATTATCAATTGCCTCGGCATCCAGCTGTTGCTCGGCATCTAACTGATTATCATTTCCACTCGATCTGATTATCGTTGTTCTCTTGCAGTCTATTACCCCCTCCATAGACTTAAGGGGTTTGAATCGGCAAAGGCCGCGAACAAGCACCGCCGCAAACACCCGAACCCTTTAAAAGCTAGGACCAAAGCTGCCATGTCGGGCCGTCTGAACCTTGCAAAAAAGAGGGCGGCACTTAACAAGGACCCGTCGCCCCGAGCTGCCGATGTGACCGCCTCGGCGGCACCGGAAACCAACCTGACCGTCCCCCAGGGCCCGCGTGCTCCTGCACCGGAGCCGCGCTTGACAAGGCGCCGGGCCAGGGAGGAGCCGAGCTCCACCGGCGGTGAGGCCCCAGGCGCGAGTGCCGGGGACCAGGCCGCGGCCAAAAAGAAGAAGAGTGCCGAAGCGGGGAGCTCGGGCCTCGCCAAGGAGAAGGCGGCGTACGTCCACCAGGACACGGCGAACACTTTCTTCCCTGTCGATGCCGAACGGAAGGCCCGTTTGGCTAAGACCCTCCCCGGCTTCCCGGACGATTGGTTTTTGGACCTTCGCGCCGCGGACGGGGTCTCTGTCCCCAACCAGTTCGGGGTTCCCGACGAGATAATCCGGGCGGCTCGGCTGCCCCTGGTCGCCTGGACTCCGGCCGCCCAAGCCGCCGTCACTCAGCTCTCCACCCCGTCGCTCATACAGCATGTGGCGAGGACCATCTCTCGCGCGTTGATCGAGCTCGTCCAGGCTGCTGATAGGTCGCAAAAGGCCCTGGCTGACCACCGAAAGTTGGAAGCCGACCACGAGCTCTGCCATGGGAAGATCGCCTCCCTGCATACCCAGGCGAAGCGGACCTCAGAGCTGGAGAATCGTCTCGTGCTGGCGGAAGTCGAGGCGAGGAAGGCTGCCGAGAAGGAGATCGAGGCCTCCCGGACGGCGGCCAGACTGTCTGAGGAGCTGAGGAAGGGGAGGGCCGCCTGGACCGCTAGAGAGTTCGAGCTGGGGGAGCAGCATGCCAAGGCGATGACCGAGGCGATGGATCGGCATGTGGCCCAGCTCGACAAGCTCCAGACCCACGTCGTCGGCCTCCAGAAACAGCTCCAGGCGCATACTGACGAGCTGGAGAAGTATGCCGTTCAGGACGGCTCAGAGGATGGTCCGCCTCCGTATCCCGCTCCGCCTGCCGACGTACCCGGAGGTCCAAGAGCTGTTCAGCAAGGATATCATGGCCGACATAGACTCCGGGGTCGGCTACAACCTCTTCTGGCTCTTCCAGCGGCTCGATGCCGGCCTGCTCACCTTAGAGGATTTCCGCGAAATCATGCGGGCGAAGATCTCTAAGCACGGGCTGGAGGCCGAGTTCGAGGGGCTGGTGTGTGAAGTCGGCAGCACTGGTTCGTCGCCGGAGAGGCTGGGCTGAGGATGAGATCGTCGGCTTTGCCAACTTCGGTGCAACGCCTCTAGATGAGCTGCGCCTGAAGCCGGGCGAGGTCCTCTCCGACTACACGTCCTTCCTGCTGCCGAGCAGAGACTTCGCCGACGAGGCCGACCCCTCCCGGATATTGCGGGGGGCGAACGATCACGAGGCCGGTACCTCGGGGGCGGCAGAGGGCGAGACCAGGGCCGAGCCGGGCGTGGGCGGGGAGGCCGTCGGAGATGCCGAGGCGGAAGCGGAACCATCAGATACGGCCATGGTGGACCTGACCTCCGATCCTTCTCCCAAGTAGTAATTTATTTCCGGCCTGCGAGCCGTTTTCGTTGACCTCCTGTGGTCTTTTAAAAACTTGTTCTGTGAATACTTTTTAATTTTTCGTTTTGAATGGATGTCACTTTAATATGAATGGATGTTATTTGAACGAATGGATTTTTAATGCTTTTTTACTGATGCGTTTTTGCGATTTTCGATCAAGTATGGGCTTGGTGCCGTGTTGTGTACTTATTTATTCGCGCTTTTTGTTTACACGGCCGAGCCCGAGATTGGGCTCGACACTTTTTACTTACACGGCCGAGCCCGCGATTGGGCTCGGCACTTTTTACTTGTTCGGCCGAGCCCGCGATTGGGCTCGGCACTTTTTACTTACACGGCCGGCCCGCAATTGGGCTCGGCACCTTTTACTTACTCGGCCGAGCCCGCGATTGGGTTCGGCACTTTTTACTTACACGGCCGAGCCCAAGATTTGGCTCGACACTTTTTATTTACTTGGCGCATTACCTTTCCAATCCATTCGTGGGATCGGGTGATGGTTTGGCTATGTCGAGCTTCGCGTTCGAGCCCGTCGTTCATTCCTTACATTGGCGTTGTGGCCTCAACGAGCTACTTTGCCGAGCCCGGCTCGTGCCGGCCGAGCCATCGTACTGGCCCGACCTGCACATAATTATGTGGCAGCTTACCTGACTGGTCTCACGTTTGGACTCGGGGGTATTATTGGTCTGACTGGGCTTCCTAGTTGAGCCCAGCTAGTGCCGACCAGGTCATCGTACTGATCCTGGTCGACACTTTGCTCCTTACGTTAATTACGCCGCTTCGACTCGACCTATACTTAATAAAGACAAACGTAAATACATAAAAAAATAAATTAAATAAAATCATACATCTTTACAAGGTTCATTTATTTTTTACAAGGTAAAATTACAAAAATGAAAATACAAGATTGTCCTAGACCTACTGGTAGAACTTTTTCAAAAACGCCGAATTCCACGGGTATTGGTGGGGGATGCCGTCCAGGTGTTCGAGACGGTATGCCCCGTGTGGGAGGACCTCGCTGATCTTGTAGGGACCTTCCCACTTCGGCTTCAGTGGTCCGGGGTCCGGCCCCGTTACCTTTTTTAACACCAAGTCGCCGATCTGATACGAGCGCGATTTGACTTGGGAATTGATGTATCTCTCGCTTCGCCTTTTGTATGCTGCATTTCTGAGCTTGGCTTGTGACCGGTGTTCGTCTATCAGGTCTAGACTTGCCCTTAACGACTCAGAGTTGGATTCCTCCTCGAAGTTTGTTACTCGGAAGGTTGGGGCGCCGAGTTCGACAGGTACCATCGCTTCGGTTCCGTATGCCAGGGAGAACGGTGTCTCTCCCGTGGATGACCTGGCTGTGGTGCGATACGACCATAGTACGTTTGGGAGCTCCTCCGGCCATGCCCCTTTCGCGGCTTCAAGTCGGACCTTGAGCCCTTGTTTGATAATTTTATTTACAGCTTCAACCTGGCCATTGGATTGGAGATGGTAGGGTGTCGAGAAGAAATGTTTGATGCCGTGCTCTTCGCAAAATGCCTCCAGCTTTTTCCCTTCGAACTGTCTTCCGTTGTCA